GGAAGGAAGGAAGGAAGGAAGGAAGGAAGGAAGGAAGGAAGGAAGGAAGGAAGGAAGGAAGGAAGGAAGGAGACGAAGGGAGGAGAGGGGAAGGAAGGAAAGAAGGAAGGAAAGAGAGGGAGGAAGGAGCTGGAGGGAGGAGGGGGAGGGGGAGGGGGAGGGAAGAGAGAGGGAGGAAGGAAGGAAAGAAGGAAGGAAGGAAACAGAGGGAGGAGGGACAGAGGGGTGATCCTCCCTGCTGTGCAGCTAAGACCAGAAATCATTCTAAACTCCTTATCACAACCCGCGCCTGCCAGAGCTGCTCTGCTCTGCACCCAGCCCGCCCTTCCCAGAGCAAGCAGCCCCTCGGTACGTTTTGCCCTGGAGACAGATTGACGGACAAGGGTGCTTTCCACAAGCATCTTTAAGCAAGGGCTGAACCCTCTTGGGGCTTCCCAATCGGAGCTGCTGCGGGGGGCAAATGATGCAACTCAAGCACGCTGAGCACGGCCTTCAGCAACGGGAATAAAGCTGGAGTGGTTTGAGCCGCGAGCCTTGGCGCTCCTCCACGGCGCGATGGTCACGGCACCTGTTGCACTCTCATGATGTTGGTGAAGCCCGCCCCAGGCCTCCAGCCGGTCACAATGATCACCACGTCCTCCGAGTGCAGGAAGCCTCGCACTCGCCCTGCGATAGGGACAGAGAAAGGAGATTCAGACACGCCAGCCACAAATATGGAACGGGTGCCGTCGAGACAGCGTGACAAACTCTTCACGCAAGAATGCCGGGCAAAAAAAATTCTGGATTTGCATCATTCCCCCAGGTGGTCTTGATCAATCCATCACTTAGCTGGTTGAGCGAATCCAGACAATGTGTGTGACTCGTGCCCGGCTGCCAGTGCGCATGCTCTTGAAAGCTCCGCTAGGAGCTTTTCCTCCTTTTAGGAGGCTTTGAAATCTGCCTCTCCTCCACCCTGGGAGAAAAGAGAGGGCCTTCCCCACGGCAGCCCCAGACTCTGGAACTCCCTGCCTACGGAACAGCCATCTCGGCCCCTCTAGCAGCCAGCAAAGACAGGTGGATTTAAGCCGCTTTGCATTCGTTTCTCAGAGGAAGATTAAAAAAAAAGGGGGGGGGGTTCCAGGTTTCCTCTGACTTTCTATTGCTGGATTAGTTAAAACAAGAATAAATTATTTTGTTTTAAAAGGTTTCATTTATTTGTGTATTAGACATATAACTCACTGTAGGAAGAAGGAAGGAAGGAAGGAAGGAAGGAAGGAAGGA